CTGCAACAACAACAACACAACTACATCAACACAACACACAACGACAACACAACACACAACGACAACACAACTACATCAACACAACACACAACGACAACACAACACACAACGACAACACAACTACATCAACACAACACACAACGACAACACAACTACATCAACACAACACACAACGACAACAACAACACAACAACAACAACACACAACGACAACACAACACACAACGACAACACAACTACATCAACACAACACACAACGACAACACAACACACAACGACAACACAACAACACAACAACAACAACAACACACAACTACATCAACACAACACACAATGACAACACAACACACAACAACAACACAACTACATCAACACAACACACAACGACAACACAACACACAACGACAACAACACAACAACAACAACACAACAACAACACAACTACATCAACACAACACACAACGACAACACAACACACAACGACAACAACACAACAACAACACAACTACATCAACACAACTACAACACAACAACAACACACAACAACACAACTACATCAACACAACTACATCAACACAACTACATCAACACAACAACAACACAACTACATCAACACAACTACAACACAACAACAACACAACAACACAACTACATCAACACAACACACAACAACAACACAACTACATCAACACAACACACAACAACAACACAACTACATCAACACAACACACAACAACAACACAACACACAACAACAACAACACAACTACATCAACACAAACACAACACAACAACAACAACACACAACACACACAACAACAACAACACAACTACATACAACAACAACACACACACAACACACAACAACAACACAACTACATCAACACAACACACAACAACAACACAACACACAACACACAACAACAACAACACAACTACATCAACACAACACACAACACACACAACAACAACAACAACAACAACAACACAAATACATCAACACAACACACAACGACACAACAACACAACAACAACAACACAACAACAACACAACTACATCAACACAACACACAACGACAACAACACAACAACAACAACACAACAACAACACAACTACATCAACACAACACACAACGACACCAACACAACACACAACAACACAACAACAACACAACTACATCAACACAACACACAACGACAACACAACACACAACAACAACACAACAACAACAACACAACTACATCAACACAACACACAACGACAACACAACAACAACAACAACACAACTACATCAACACAACACACAACAACAACACAACAACAACAACACAACTACATCAACACAACACACAACAACAACACAACAACAACAACACAACTACATCAACACAACACACAACGACAACACAACACACAACGACAACAACGCAACAACAACAACACAACAACAACACAACTACATCAACACAACACACAACGACAACACAACACACAACGACAACACACAACAACAACAACACAACAACAACACAACTACATCAACACAACACACAACGACAACACAACACACAACAACACAACAACAACACAACTACATCAACACAACACACAACGACAACACAACACACAACAACACAACAACAACACAACTACATCAACTCAACACACAATGACAACACAACACACAACGACAACACAACAACAACAACAACAACACACAACTACATCAACACAACACACAACGACAACACAACACACAACAACAACACAACAACAACACAACTACATCAACACAACAACAACACAACTACATCAACACAACACACAACGACAACACAACAACAACACAACTACATCAACACAACACACAACGACAACACAACAACAACAACACAACAACAACACAACTACATCAACTCAACACACAATGACAACACAACACACAACGACACAACAACAACAACAACAACACAACAACAAACAACTACACAACAACAACACACAACAACAACAACACAACTACATCAACACAACACACAACACAACACAACAACACAACAACAACAACACAACAACAACAACAACGACAACACAACAACACAACGACAACACAACAACACACAACAACACAAACACAACGACAACACAACACACAACGACAACACAACAACAACACAACTACATCAACACAACACACAACGACAACACAACACACAACAACAACACAACAACAACACAACAACAACACAACTACATCAACACAACAACAACACAACTACATCAACACAACACACAACGACAACACAACAACAACACAACTACATCAACACAACACACAACGACAACACAACAACAACAACACAACAACAACACAACTACATCAACTCAACACACAATGACAACACAACACACAACGACAACACAACAACAACAACACAACAACAACACAACTACATCAACACAACACACAACAACAACAACACAACTACATCAACACAACA